GACAAGCATGAGCACAGAATTCTATCAAAAATGGATTAGGCATCTATCAATGGAGCATGGTTGGATGTCTTGCCCTCAAGTAAGACTATATTCTTGTCGGAAGGGGTTAGTGATCACTCCTGCTAAGGTGATCATGGCTGAAGAAAGGGCTAACCCTGTTAAATCATTTCTATATTGCAACAATTGGAGTCAACATCCTCATTTACAAGACTGGTAGAAGAAGGATGAGCAGTGGAAGTTCCAGGTTACAAAATATTCCAGATAGTTAAAAGGCTAAAATTGCTAAAGAGAAAGTTAAAGAAACTAAACAAGGTTCAATCAAGAAACATTGTAGTAGAGGCAGAAGAGGATCGAAAGGCTCTGTACCAACCTCAGACCCTATTACTGAACAGACCTTTAGACACTGAACTGCAAGCAATTGAGAAGGAAAAGTATTTGAAATTCAAGATATCTTCCTACCTAGCAGAAATGTATTTGCAACAGAGGAGTAAAACAACTTGGCTGAAATTGGGAGATGATAATACCAACTATTTTCATTATGTCATAAAGCACGGGAAACTAAAGCAAGCAATAACTCAAATCAAGAATGATCAGGGTGAGCTAAAAACTGATCAAGATAGCATAGCTAAGATATTTGTAGATTACTATCAAGAAATGCTAGGAAGGAAGGCAACAATCAGGGTACCAGCCCATCCAGCAATCCTTAAGAGGGGGAATACCTTGTCTACAGTACAACAAGTCCAGCTTATATAGGAGTTCACAGAGGAAGATGTCAAGCAGCCATGTTTAGTATTGACAAAAACAAAAGTCCTGGGCCAGATGAATTTGGTAATGGATTCTATAAAGCATCTTGGTGTATTGTGGGGAAAGATACTACTGAAGCTGTTCTTGAGTTTTTCCATAATGGGAAGATGCTTCGACAAATCAATCCTACAAATATTGCTCCTATTCCAAAAGTTGATTACCCTAAAAGTGCAAATCAGTATAGGCCTATAGCTTGTTGTAATGTGTTATACAAGTGCATTTCAAAGATGTTGTGCAGTAGACTAAAGCAAGTAGTGAGTCATAAGTCTGCATTTGTTCAAGGCAGGTCTATGATCCATAATATCTTAATATGCCATGATCTCCTAAGACACTATAATTGAAAAACCACTCCATGATGTCTCATGAAAATAGATCTCAAGAAGGCTTATGACATGGTCAATTGGGAATTTTTGGAGGAATCTTTGAGGGGGTTTAGATTCCCTGAGAAGTTTATCAGTTTGATTATGACATGTGTATCTACTCCAAAGCTTACTGTCAAAGTAAATGAAGAAGTCTAAGGCAATTTTGATGGTCAGAGAGGGCTCAGGAAAAGAGATCATGTATCTCCTTTATTATTTGTGTTGGTGATGTAATATTTGACTAGAGTGCTAAACTGTATGAGTCTGTTGCCAGACTTCAAATACCACCTAATGTAAAAACCCCTAAAACTCACTCACCCGATCTTTGCGGATGACCTGATGGTATTTTGTAAAGGGGATGGAGACTTAGTCAACAAAGTTCTAGAGGCTTTAAACCATTTTAGTGTTGCTATAGGACTTATTGCCAATATGGATAAATCACATATGTTTGTTGCTCGTGTGCCTGATCACATAAAGGCTCAATTGTTGGATAAAACTGGGTTTGCTCAAGGGACTTTTCCTATTAGATACTTCGGCTTACCACTATCATCTAAGAATTGGAGTGATCTTGAATAACAACTACATGTGCAAGACATCTATCTTATGCTGGAATGCTGCAGATACTCAATGCGGTCCTGTTTTCTATACACAACTTTTGGGGCTCAATCTTCATCATGCCACGAAGCATCCTAAAAGAAGTTGATAGAAAGTGTAGGGAGTACCTATAGGGTAAAGCTGAGGAACACAGGAAATCATCCTTGGTCTCTTGGACAAGGTCTGTTTGCCTAAGAGCATAGGTGGATTGGCATCAAGGACTGCAGAACTTGGAACATTGCTTCAGTGGGTAAGCTACTCTAGGAATTGATAGAAAGGAAGGACTCACTATGGGTGAGGTGGGTACATGGTATTTATATGAAAAAAAATTCAGATATATGGAGTCATAATGTCCCTCAAGATAGTAGTTGGTACTGGATAAAGATTAATTCCCTCAAGAACCAGATGCAAAGCTGGTATGAGCAGGCAAGATATATTCTCACAGCTGGGGGAGGGGGGAATATACAATCACTAAAGCTATCTGCACCTAAAGGGAGAGCATAGCAAAATGGAAGTGGCAGACCTCATTTGAAATTCAGTATCTCTACCTAGGCACAAATTTATCATGTGGCTGGCAGTCTATGGTAGACTACTGACAAAAGAAAGATTGGTCAAATTGCACATTCTACTAGAAAACTCCAATTGTTGCTTATGTGATTATCAGGTTATGGAGACGAGTACACATTTAATTGTGGATTGTAGTTGGATCACAACTTTGAGATTTGAATATACTCAATGGACCAATGTTTAGCTTCACACAGGAGCGCTGAGGGAGGTGCTGGAATACATCAAGAGGAAGCATTGGAAAGTATTCCAAAAAGAGGTGATAGCAGTTGTTTGGGGAGCCATGACATACCAGACGTGGAAAGCTCGAAATTACAAGTTGTTCAAGGGTGCTATACTACAACTAGCTGAGGTAGCAATGGAGATAAGGAGAGAAACTGTACAGAGAATGGAATTGCTTAGATCATCAAAAAAAGCACATAAGAGTAGAGATTTTTTACATAGAATACTTAGTACCTGGAATACATGTTGAGCCAAAGTTCTGCTGCATACTTGTAATTAGCTACTTGTCGGAGACTTATTAATCAGGGCACCCTTCCTAGAAGGTGGCTGTGGGAATAAGTGCTCTATAGGTGTATTATTTTGGTTTGTTAATGGTAATATTCACATTGTTACCACTTAAAAAAAATTAAATACAGACCTGTAAATTATCATTGCATGTATGATTAGGAGTCCGGAACAAAAAAGATGTATTTTTTGACTCAAGACATAAAAATAGGTGAAAACAATTATTGATGACTTTCTTTTATACATATCGCATGTTTTTAATGCAGTATAGCTTAACTGCCAGTTACCCTATTAAGGTATAGCGCATGAAATACATGTGTTATGCTTATTATTTTGAAAGACTCAATATACTTCCCTCACTTTATTGTTCTTCATGAGTGGGAAGAAAGCAAAATCTTTCTTATCCAATACCAATCCGGGAATACTAGGCTAAGCATGTAGCCTAGCCGCTTCACTCGTCAAAGATAGGCTTTGTTGAATGGTACTAACTAAGAATGCTATTGGATGAGGAAATTTTGTCTTCGGAAAACCTGGAAAGACGGAACTACTTTCGGAGGGTCCTTCTATTATCTCCTTCACGCTACCCAATCTGAACTAATAAGTGCATGTAGCAGCATTGAGTGATCCCCTTCTCCGATATGCGCTATACCTGGTATAACTCATGTAATACATGCGCTACTATACATAGTTTAAATATATCACAGCTTCTCCTCCCCGACAGAAGCATGAAAAATGAACCCCCATTCCCCCACCTTTTTAACAGAACACCATTGGAACCCACTTTGTTCCCTAGAAAACTTTTGTCATTCATATTTTATCGATAAAAGACACAATCCAAGGCTGCCTCGTGGAGTATTACGCGATTTGTGCTCGATTCGGTTGGAAAAGCGGCAAATTTTCTCTGTTCAAAAACATTCAAAGATAGGTATTTCGAAACACTCTTTTAGTATAAGTTGTGTGTGTGTGTGTGTGTATATATATATATATATATATATATATATATATATATATATATATTTATTTGGGTAGTTAGTTCGTAGTTATGTACTGCATGATTTTGTGTATTTTTTTAACCCGAATTAATTTAGTGTTTAGAATTTTTTTTTGAAAGTTGTTTATTATACCATTGTTATAAACTTGTTGAATATTTTATGTTACTTGTTGATTTATTTTTATAATTGTACAACAAAAATAGTATCGTTAGTGTTATTTAGTGTCCTTTAGTGATGTCTTTTATTGTAGTAGAACAATAAATACGTTATAATTTATGTTAGTTGTTTAATATTTTATAATAGTTGAAAAATAAAAATGTGCCTTTAGTGCTCTTTAGTATCCTTTGGTGTAGAACAATAACTACGTGTCGTCATTAACGTAACCGGTTAGAGTAATCAATTACTGATCATATATTAATCAACTATTAATCGTATAGTAAATGTATTATCATATATGAATCAAATAAAACACGATAAGTTAATAAATTAAATTTTAGTGTTTTTTGACCTATGAATAATAAAATAATTAAGTGTCAGTAAAAAAGAGACCATGTAGGGTTGTTGTGTAAAATATAACAAATTAACATATAAATCGTTACGAAGGTACTTTATATAAAAATAATTATTAAAACATTAAAAGTTATATCGATTAGTTAAACAAATTAAGTATTTACTATTATTTTTATGACGAATAAAATTGTTAAAAAATTGACAGTACATAAAAGAGACCGTGCCGTATTTTTTTGGTAAAAGGTAACAAATTAACATATAAATTGTTACAAATGAAATATATACTTAATAATAATTTATATAAAATAATTATTAAAAATATTTAAAATTATCTCGATAAGTTAAACAAATTAAATATTTAGCATTCTTATAACGACGAATAAAAATGACAAAAAGTTGACAATATAAATAAAAATCTGCCGAATTTTAGTCGTAAAATCCTAAAAACTAATATATAAATAAGTACTTTATATCAAATTAAGTAATAATATAAAAAATTTTAAATTAATTAATAATATAAAAAATACCGCAAGATATTTCGAGACGTTAAAAGATTAAAGAGAATAATATTTTAATTAATATTATTCAATTTACAGACATCATTATGGATCATCCGTCTATGCATCCTAGACCTGTTTCTTGAGACCTACTTTTGCTCAAAGTGGTCCATATGTCTTCACATATCTGGGATGGAGAGTTGCTTAACCAGAACTTTTACCTGACACGCATTGACGATTTTTGGGAGTTTATTAAGGACCACCCACTTCATCCTCGTACAGTTGTGTGCCTCACTCTGACTGGTTTTTACCGGGTTATTGAGGTTGGCCGGTTGCAGTTCGATCAGCCCGTGATCACGGCTCTGATCGAGCGATGGAGACCTGAGACTCATACATTTCATTTGCCTATCGGCGATGCGACCATCACGCTAGAGGACGTGGAGGTATTATTCAGGTTGCCCGTTGACGGTCTTGCTATCCACTACCCGCCTGCTCTTAGGGAGTATAGGAGGCATGACTATCTATAGATGCTGGAGAGGCTCACTGGATTCCAGTGAACAGAGTAGACTGCTATCAGTGGCGTTAGTCGATTGCAGTTATCGCCTGTTAGGCAACACCTGGAGGCACTTCACGAGCAGATCATGGATGAGTCACCAACTGAGGCTATTGAGCGGCAGTCAAGGCTGTTGATTTTGATGATATTTGGTGGAATTCTTTCCCAAAACACTTCGGGAAACCTTGTGAGCCTACATTTCTTGCATCATCTGCAACGTTTAGATCACTTACCCATGTACAGTTAAGGTGGTATCGTTCTAGCGTACCTTTATAGGGAGTTGTGCAGGGCGTCAATGGGTAGCGTGAGAGATGTCGCTAGATTTATTCTGCCACTACAGGTGATAACATTATCTGTTCTTTTCATGATTATCATAGATATAGTACAAAATACTCAATTTTACGTCCACAATCAATATTAGGTTTCGGCTTGGGAGAGATTTTTGCAGATGCAACCCCATCCTAGACCACTAGCTCCAGATATACCACCTCCGCCATTTCTACCACATGCTAGGAGGTGGGTAGATATGCGAGGTCGTGCCCACGACGTCGAGGCTCGACATCATCTCCCTCTTTACAAGAGACGTCGGGCCCATAAGAATTGTCTTCAACATTCCAAACTAACACACACAAAGATGATCCAGAAGTTATTCAGCATTTGAAGGAGATTTTAGTGATGGAAAAGGTACTAGCCATTCATCATGCACTGGAGTATCTTAACTATCACCAAGGAATAGAGGATCAACATTGGTCTTCATTAGAGAATGAAAAATCTCATAGAGATCTTGATTATTCCGTATTCCAACAGTTGTGGAGTGGGAGGGACTACCAAAATATCTATTGTAGACGTTGGACATAAGAGTGCCAAATTGTTGCAGAAATCAAGCAAGTGGTCTTATTGATGATAGCGATGAAATACGAGAAATATGTGTAAACTGGGGCCTAGATTATAATGCCCTCGGTTCGGATGGATGCGAACAAGACCGCGACGAAGAAGACGAAGAAAATGGCAATAAAGAGAGAGACGAAAGTAATGATGAATTAGTGCCCGACAGTGACGATAATAATGAATGAAAACCATTATTTTTTTCTTATAAGTATTCTATTGAATCTTCAATGCTAAGTGTCAATTAGAGTTAACACTATTGGAAATATAATTTTATTTCATTAATATTGCCAGCACACACCATTACAAACCCTTATTCCTACTAAATATACTGCTACAAAAAGCTAATTTTATGCCTGAAAATTGCTAATATTGGATGAACTGCCACCAGGAGCTAAATTGCCACCGCTTTCCAAACCAACTGTAGACATTTACGGTGATCTCGTTCTGTTTGAGAACATAGACCACATTTGCGCGCATATACGATATAACTAACATCTATTTGGTTCCGTATCCGCGTTCTTTTTTGTACTTGCCTAGGACGCAAGAAATCCTTGTTACAAACCATTTTAAAAAGTTCTGGCGGCTAATAATGCTCAGAACCCACTGGTTGGAAGTGGCCGCTATAGGTGTTTGCGTATGTAGCCACACTATATTCTCTATCAACTTACCTCATCAGTGCAAACCCAATATGTTGAAAGCACTTCATGGAAAGTGATAAATCAATCATTTCCACATGAACATAATCGCGTGGATTCATTAATGGTGTGGGTATTATCACCACGATTTTAATGCAAACCAGTGCGAATTCCAAAAATATTTTGATCGCTGCAATATTGCAAATGTGTATGCCACTGTGGCCACTTCTTATAATGCTCAAACCGTTTCATCAGTTGTGGCATAAATTGAACACCCCTTTCCAACAAGGACAATGCACTGCGGAATCTATCAACAAACCTCTCTGACAGCTGCTTGAATGACATCCGCACCATGATAGGGACATGCAATCCACGGGCAGACTTCAACAACCTGTTGAAAGACTCTGACATATTTGTAGTCAAAATTTCCCATCTTCTGCCACCATCCTTATACAAAGCCCACTTATCAAGCTCATGTTGCATCAACCAACGATAAGCTCCTTCATCTTCTTGTCTAATCAATTCCATTCGCATCTTGTATTTACACTCTTGATGATCTGTTGCAGCCATCCACATTAAATTATGTAAGCTCTTGTTCCGTTAAGCCACCTAGAAGTTGGCCTTCAAGCGCCTAACACATTAATGGTGGTAGGCGTGAGGCTCCTTCCATGCATCCAAAGTACGCACAAAACTTAAAATCCCACCATGTCGATCAGATATTAGACAAATACCTTAACGCTGTCTCACAACGTGCTCCTTCAAGTGACTTAAAAACCATGTCCAAGTCTCTTAACTTCCAAGTCTCTAGCTCTCGGCGCAGTTTAAGCAAGGATCGCTAAACTGCACGGTCAGCAATGGCGAGGCAGAGGAAGAAGAATATAGCAAAGGCAACAAACACAGAGCAATCAGAGAAACTAGATGAGGAAGATCAGAGGATAGTCACACCAGAAACAGGAATTCAACAGAATTTAGAACCAGCGCAACTGTTCCATTGGATGAAAGGTATGGGGAGTGCACCAACGATTATGCATGGACATGAGCAGAAGGAATCTGTGGAGAAAACAACAATCCAAGCTCCAACAGTTGTTTCAATTGCAATAACTCCGACAGATCTAGCAGAAAATGAAACAGAAATGGCGATGGCAGCTAGGAAACTGACATTCTCGACTGGACTTGAGAATACAAAACCAACCCTAGCAGCGGTGATACAAGGTAATAGATCAATTCAGCAAGGATTGAAATTGAATTACTATCCTCCTACTGTGAAGGATGGGAGGAAAATTGTACGATTGAACATGATAGAGGTAGAGGAACAAACGAGGAAATAGCAAACCAGCTTGATTGGGTATGTATTAGGAGGAACACCTCAATTTAAGGAGATGCTCAATTTTGTGTATGGTGCATGGCAATTTGTATCAACTCCTCAAGTCCTACTGCATGAAGAGGGCTACTTCGTTTTTAAGTTCGATTGTGATGAAGACAGAGACCTGGTTATGCAAAATGGACCTTATACATTTAATAACAGGCCTATGATTCTGAAAAATTGGGAGGCTGATTTCAAAATGAGTAAGGAATTGATGACAAATGTACCAGTGTGGGTAACGTTTCCTAGGCTACCTATACAGTATTGGACAGGAGAAAATTTGGGAAGAATTGCAAGTTCAATAGGAAAACCAATATGCACAGATAAGCTAACAGCACAGGAAGCTCGAATTTCATATGCTCGAATGTTGATAGAAATGGACATATCTCAAGCATTGCCTGAGGATGTATTGATTGAGACCTCAAATGGAGAACTGAGACAACAACAATTGAAGTATGACTGGCATCCATCCTTTTGCCAGGATTGCCTCAGTATACGATTTAACACAGGAGAATGCAAAAATCAGAAAGGAGAAAAAAAGGAAGGAAAGGGACAGCAGGAAGGAAAGAAACAAGGGAAGAAAGTTATTACAAAATGGATTGCCAAAGCTAGAGAGGAAACACAGAACAAGGTGACCATTGCTGAAGAAAACAATGTGAATTCAAATAATGAAGATGAACAAAGACAGGAGGCTGATTTTCAGATAGCAAAATCAAAAGGAAAGCAGGTGCAAAAAGAAAGGAACACAGTGAGAAAGAATGCAATGGAGGAAGCAATACAAATTAGACTACAACAGAACAGATTCACTGCATTAAGGATTCAGGAACATGAGGATGCTAGCTCAGCATCAAATGGGGAAAGAGTACCTGTAGTTCAACCCCCATGATCATCTGTGCATGGAATATAAGAGGGTTGAATAAGCCCTATAAGCAGAAAGAGTTAAAATCTTATCTGTTTAAGAATAAAGTTATAATAATAGGGTGTCTTGAAACTAGAGTAAAGCAATGGAATGAGAAAAAGGTAAAAAAGAAGATGGGAAGTGAATGGGAAGTTTATACTAACTATTCTTATGCTCCTAATGGGAGAATATGGATCTTGTGGAAGAATCAACAGGTGGAAGTGAATATTGTGCAAGCTGGGGCTCAAATTGCACACTGTGAGCTGAAATATAGAAATTCAACATTCAAGTGTTGGATTAACTTTGTGTATGGATTCAATACAATAAATGAAAGGAAAGAAGTTTGGTCTCAACTAAAGCAGATTAGTAATAATATGGTGGAAGCTTGGGTGATACTGGGAGATTTTAACACTATGCTATCTACAAGTGATAGACTGAATGGTACTCCTGTCCATTTGAATGAGGTGATTGATTTCCAAGAATGTGTCACTGATATAGGGTTGGGGCTGTTAAACAAGAAAGGGTGTCAGTGGTCTTGGTGTAATAAGAGAGAGGCTAATGATAGAATATATAGCAACATTGACTGGGCACTAGGGAACTACTCTTGGTTCCTTCAATATGGATATATTGAGGCAGTATATGATAATTATGGGGTTTCAGACCACTCTCCCATAGTTCTATGCACTGATGCAGCAAGGAACTACCAACCAAAACCATTCAGATTGCTAAATGTACTCCTACAGGAGAAAGAGTTTAAGAAGATAGTGCAGATAGTGTGGGGTCACAGGGTAGATGGATACACAATGTATTCAATCTGGAGAAAATTGAAAATGCTGGGAAACAAGGTGAAAGAACTGAACAAAACATATATCTCTGTAGGTGACAAGGTGAATAAATTGGAGGAAAGACTATCAGATATCCAACAGAAGCTAGATAAGGATTTATTCAATGAATCCTTGATAAGAGCAGAAAAAGAAGTACTGTTACAGTTGGAGAAATGGCAAAATATGCAGGAAAAAGTGTATAGACAGAAGTCAAGGGCAATATGGATCACAGCAGGTGATTCAAATACAAAATTCTTTCATGGACACTTGAAAGCAAGACAGGCTAAAAACAGAATATCAACCATTTACAAAGAAGATGGGCTGAAGTTGACTGATCCTGTACTGGTAGAGAAAGAATTCACTAGTTTCTTTGAGAAGTTACTGGGAACAAAGGCAGCTGAACTACCTTGCCTTGATGTGAATATAGCTAGAAATGGTCCATGCTTGGAGAGGGAACATCAGCTGGAATTGATTAAAGCAGTAACAGAGGCAGAGATACTTCAGGGGTTGAAACAACTGCCTAGAGACAAGGCACCTGGTATTGATGGCTTCCCAGTGGAATTCTTCAGAGAGTACTGGCATATAGTTGGTGCAGAGGTGATCAAGGCAGTGATAGAGTTCTTCAACACAGGGAAATTACTGAGGGAAATATGTAGTGCTACACTCACATTGGTGCCAAAGGTAGCTAGTCCAACCTATGTAAAAGAGTTTAGGCCTATAACTTGCTGTACTACTGTGTATAAACTCATAGCTAGGATTCTCACAACAAGACTAAAGTCAGTGGTATCATATAGTTGGACCAGCTCAATCAGCATTTATTGGGGGAAGAAACATACTGGATAATGTGATCATTGCTCATGAACTGGTGAAAGGATACAACAAAAATGGAGTGTCCCCAAGGTGCATTATTAAAGTAGATATAAGGAAAGCTTATGATTCTGTTGAATGGCGTTTCTTACAGATGGTGCTATTGGAGTATGGGTTCCCTAGCAAGATAGTTCAATTGATCATGGAATGTGTAACAAATTCTAGTTACTCTATTCTGATTAATGGAGGTTTGACTAAAAGATTTAAAGCAGAAAAGGGATTGAGGCAAGGGGATCCTATGTCCCCATACCTCTTTGTCCTAGTAATGGAGTATCTCAGCAGAACCTTGAAGACTCTTAAAGATGTTCCAGACTTCAATTTTCACCCAAGGTGTGCAAGGCTTAATCTCACTCATATATGTTTTGCTGATGACCTTATAATGTGTTGCAGAGCTGACAAGATTTCAATCCAACTACTACTAGAAAAATTCAACCATTTCTCTAAGGTGACAGGTCTTAAGGCCAACCTAGAGAAAAGTTCTATATATGTGGCTGGAGTGAGCCTGGACTTCAAGGAAATGATATGCTCAGAGTTTCAGTTTAAAATGGAGACTCTGCCCTTTAAGTACTTGGGGGTACCTCTGTCTTCCAGGAAACTGTCAATACATCAGTGTTTACCTCTGGTGGAAAAGATCACAAATAGAATAAAGTGCTGGACTTCAAAGTTGCTGTCATACAGTGGTAGAGTGCAGCTGATAAAAAGTGTACTTTTTGAAATGCAAACATACTGGGGACAAGTATTCATTATTCCAAAGAAGATTATACAGTTAGTCAATGCTGTGTGTCGAATCTTTCTATGGACAGGCTACTACAGCCCCTCAAAAAGAGCTCTAATTGCATGGGAGAGAGTATGTATGCCTACTTCTGCAGGGGGATTAAATGTAATTAGTTTTGAATGGTGGAACAAGGCTGCTATATGCAAAATGATGTGGGCAACACACATGAAAAAAGATGCACTTTGGATCAAATGGATACATGCTATGTACATAAAGAAGGAAGACTTTACGGAGATGCAGACACCAAGGCAAGCTAGTTGGTTAGTCAAGAAGATCTTTGATATTAGGGATTGGTACAAGAAGATAGAAACAGTTGCAAACATAGATAAATTCTGTGTGAAAGGCAAATTCAGCATTCACAAGATGTATACTCTATCACGACCTAAGTACCCTAAGGTTGAATGGAAAGCATTGTCACTGGGAAATGGTATTCCTAGGCACAACTTTATCCTGTGGTTAGCCTTAAACCACAGACTGACTACTGTGGATCGACTTGCAAAATGGGGGATTCAAGTTGATCAAGATTGTGTATTATGTAAGAGGAGACAGACTGAAAATATGGAACACATATACTTTGAATGTCAATATACAAAGTATATTTGGAGCAAGCTGCTGGTTTGGATGGGAGAAAATCACCAGATAGGCACATGGCTTGAAGAAGTTACCTGGATGATTAAAAGAGCAAGAAGTGGTCGAGCCCAAAACAACATGCTGGTCTTCTTGCTTGCAGCAGTAATCTATCAAGTATGGACAGAAAGGAATATGAGAAGATTTCAAGGGAAGGAGAAGGAAGCAGAGCGAAAGGTTAGAGACATTGTCCTCCAACTTCATATAAAAGGACAGCAAAATGCGAAGTGGAAGAAGAGACTTGAGCAACTGAATAGTTTCCCATAGGAGTCTGTATTTGGTTGCTATTGTATGCTGAATGAGTCAAAAGTAGTTTCCAAAAAGTAGTTAAAGTAGTTATATTGATGTAATGAGTCTAACTCTTGAGTCCTAACGGGTTAGAGGCACTGTATAATTGTTTCTTGGTTAAATAAAATTATTTTGACCAAAAAAAAAATAGCAAATGCAAGGGAATATGCTTCCATTAGCATCTATTGCAATGGCAATCAACATCTTTATATCATACTTTCCATATACATGTGTGTGCCATCTATGGAGATTACCGACCGACAATGAACAAAACCATCTATGGATGGTTTAAATGCCCAAAACACATATCTGAATATGTATTCTGGTAAGTTAGGACTTCGATCGTGCTTCCATTGAACAATTGTCCCGGGGTTAAAGTGTTTCAAAGAAGCCGTGTACCTCGGTAGAGCCGCAAATGACTTATCCCAATTGCCATAAACAATCTCAAACGCATGTTTATGCCCGATATATGCCTTTTTTTGTAAAGGTACACCCATATACCTGCGCAACTGATGTTATACACTCTTTCACCTTGTACCTTTTGGACGATTCAGTATGTGGAATCAAGACAAGGAAAATCAAATCAACATTCAAGTTAAAATGATTGCCATTGAACGTGTCCATATCACAAGTGTGCTTGCTAATGTATTTCCCCATGATCCACATATTAGTTTTCAACTTTCTTGCACACAGCATCCACTTACAACCTTGGTCCCATCTACGAAAAACAACCTTATATCTTTGCTTAGATGAATCAACAACCTCGATCTCACGATAGTTTTTTGTTGTAAATTCGCACCGCCCTGCTAAGGTGAGACTAGTCACCAAAAAGCATATTCTTACAGAGCTCTGTTGGTCTAGATTCATCCAACATTGATGTACGAATGTCGTCAAGATCCCTTGCGAGGGCATCCACATCTGTCATACTGGGCAAGTGATCAAGGTAGGGAATCTCCCTTGAATGAAAGGGCACACGGGACTCGTACACTGTGGGTCTAACGGTACGTGGAGTCTGCATATACGGAGCATGCTCAGTTGTGGCATCATGCTCCCTCGTCAAATTGGGTTGCTCATTCTCACTCTCATCTGCGAAGTGTGGTTCCTCATCATCGCTCTCATTAGGGAAGGGTATATCATCTCCAGACTCATCAGCGTTGTTGTCATAATCACTGGCATCTTCCTCACTTTGTGCATCTGCCATATCCTGATTCAATATGTCATCATTGCGTAACTGAGTTAGGACATGACCGTCAAGGTGCTCGTTTTAACTGCACAACCAATAAAATAATGAGCTTCTCAGAGTAATCCCAACATAATATATTAACTTTATCTCTTAACTTACAATTCATAATCTAGAGATAGCCCATGATGCACATTACTTGTTGTTGATGACTTGCGGATGGACTAGCATGATTTAAACCTTCAAAATTAGGTTTATTTCAGCTGTTGCTTGGTTCGTAACTTGTATAATTTATATCTGGCCTGTAATCCCTTTGAAAGATATAAGTGTTAGTACGAATATGATATATAAAAGAAACAATTATACTACAACAAGAAAAATTAAAATTAACACTTGGCGTGTGAATTATGTAAACTTAGCGACACCC